AAAAAAAACAGAATACAGTTTAGATATAGACACACAGACATGGTCACTTGATGGACAACAGAATCCCTGCTGCAATCCAGTGGACAGAGGATGGTCTTTTCACCAAACAGTACCAGAGTATCTTGATAGCCACATGGAAATATGAACCTCGACACTGTATATCATACACTAACACAATTTCAGGTGATCAAGCTTAAATAATCAAGAATCTACTAACAACACAGGAGAATATATTCAGGATCTTGGCATAAGGAAAGCTCTTTCACCCATGACACACAAAGGTCTACCATTAAAGAAAACACTGACTCTGAGCTTTTAGGACTTGCACTGCCTGATTTCAAAACTTAACTATAAAGCTAGAGCATCAAGACAGTCTACTTCCAGGTATATATCCACAGGAATTAAAGGCAGAGTCTCAAAGATATTTGTATACCTATGTCCACATCGGTATTAGTCACAATAGTTGAAAGGTAGAAGCAACCTAGGTGTCCATTACTGGATAAATGGATAAATAAAATGTGGTATATATACACAATACAATATTATTTAGCTTCAAAAGGAAGTATATTTTGATATATACTACAACATGGATGAACTTTGAGAACTTTATGCTGATGAAATAAGCCAGTCACAAAAAGGCAGTCTCTTCAATAAATGGTGTTGGGAAAATTGGACTGGTAAACACACACATACACACACACACACACACACACACAAATAGACCATCAACTTATAGCACACACAAGAATAAACTGAAAATGGATAAAAGACTTATTTAAATGTAAGTCGCAAAACCATAAAAATCCTACCAGAAAACATAGGGAGTGTGCACTGACTGGTGTGGCTCAGTTACTTGGTCATTGTCCCACAAGGCAAAGGGCCACCAGTTCAATTCCTGGGAAGGCACAGGCCTGGGTGGCAGATTTAGTCCTGGGCCGGGGTGCATACAAGAGGTAACCAGTAGATGTTTCTCTCTCACAAAGATTTTTCTCTCCTTTTCTTTCTCCTGCACTTCTCTTTTCTCTTAAATAAAATTTTAAATAAAAACACATGCAGTAAAATCTCAGACATCATAGCAATATTTTTGCCAATATATCTCCCAAGGCAAGGGAAAAAAAGGAAAAAAACAAAACAAAACAAAAAAAACAAAGGGGACTACACCAAACTGAAAAGCTGCATAGCAAAAGAAACCATCAATAAAAAGAAAAGGGAACTCACTGTATTATAAAACATAGTAGCCAATGATACATCTGATAAGGGGTTAATTTCCAAAATATATACAGAATGTATACAACTCAACATGAGGAACAGATAATCCAATTTAAAAAATGAGCCAAGAAACTACATAGACATTTCTTAAAAGAGGACGTACAAATGGTCAATAGATACATGAAAAAATGCTCACTTTACTAACTATCAGAGAAATGCAAATTAAAATTGCAATGAGGTATAACCTCACACTTGCCAGAATAGCTACCATCAATAAATCAACAAACAAGTGTGGCCGAGGCTGTGGAGAAAAGGAGACCCTAGTGCCCTGGCTGGTGGGAATGCAGACTGTTGCAGCCACTGTGGAAAGAGTATGGAATTTCCTCGAAAAATGATAAATGGAACTGCCATTTGACTCAGCAATCCCACTGCTGGGAATATATCCTAAGAATCCTGAAACACCAATCAGAAAGAATATATGCGACTCTATGTTCATAGCAGCATTATTTACAATAGCCAAGATATGAAAATAGTCCAAGTGTCCATCAGTAGGTGAGTGGATAGACAAACTGTGGTACATTTACACAATGGACTACTACACAGCTATAAAAAAGAAGGAACTCATCCTTTGTGACAGCATGGATGGACTTGGAGATTATGCTAAGTGAAATAAGCCAGTCAAAGAAAGACAAATGCCATATAATCTCACTTATGTGGAATGTAATGAACAAAATAAACTGACGAACAAAATAAAACCAAAGGCATGGATATACATGGAACAGGCTGATGGGTTTTGGGGGGGAAGGGAATAGGGGGACTTGAAGAGATTAGCCAAGGACCTTATGTGTATATGTGCATAGCCCTTGGACACATATGACAATGTGGTGAAAGCCGGGAGGGTGGGAGGGCTGGGTGGAGTGGGGCAAAGTGGGGGAAGTGGGGGCCATCTGTAATAGTGCCAAGTAAAACAAAAAAGACAAACACTATATGATTCCACTTATGTGAGTAGTGCAATTCATAGAAAGTAGAATGGTGTTTGTTAGGGGCTGAAGAGAGGCAGGAATAGGAAGTTGCTATTTAGTGGTTCTAGACCTTCAGTTTTATGAGATGAAACAGTTCTGGAGATGGTGCACAACAGTATGAATGTACTTAACAATACTGACTATACACTTAAAACATGGCTAAGAGGGTAAATTTTATGCTACCTGTATTTTACTACAATTAAAAATAAAATGGGAAAATAAAGAAAAGAAAGTAAGGAACCAGGTGTCTTAGCTGCTTGCACTGCCAGAACCAAATACCAGACTGGGTGGCTTAACCAACAGGGATTTATTTCCTCACAATTTTTAGAGACTGGAAGTCCACAATCAGGGTATCAGCACTGTACACTCTGGTGAGGCTTACAGATGGCCACCTACTCACTGTGTCCATACATGGCCTTTGCCTCAGTGCCTCAAGGCCTCATTTAACCTTAATTACTTCCTAAAAACTCCATCGCCAAATACATTCACATTATATATAATGTAATATATATTATATATTACATTATATTATATATACATTATTAATATATATACATTATATATAATATATAATATAATGTATATATATTATATAATATATAACATTATATAATATTAGGGTTAGGGCTTCAGCATATGAATTGGAGGTGGGGGTGGAGGATGACACGATTCCGTCCACAGCACCAGGTAAACACAATGGGGATAAGGTCCTAAAGGTCAGTCTGGAGAAGACAATGAGAATTTAACAGGAAGCAGAGTCGGGAACAGCAGAATGTTTAAGCTAAGTTAAGCTAAGTGAGGTTTGGTTTTGCTTTAGAATAAAGTTACATACTGAATTTTTTAATGTCTTAGTTCTCGCTAGATTGTGAAGGGTATTAGGAAAAAAAGTATCTGTGGTGTTTAAGCTGTAACTATAGCACATGTAAACTCCCTGGGACATCTTGGCTGATCAATAAATGTCAAAGAAAACCAGAGCAGCAATAAAGTAAAAAGAAGTAATGGGAAGGAGTAATGCCTCCAAAGCCTGAATTGCTCATTTTGAGAAACTGGGAATTTCATTGCATAGGGGTGAGGAGCCACTGAGGTGATTTACACAAGGAAAGACATTTCATGAGAATTTAGATGAATAACCCATGTGAAAGATGTGCTTGAGGAGATGAAGAAAGAGGTGGGCTGATTAATAAAGAAGCTATTCCAACAGTTCAGTCGAGAGACCATAGGTAGCAGTAGTAAAAATAAAGTAGAGAAATGCATTTAAAATACATTAGGTTGAACCATATAAAATTGCTATTATCTTTGACCCAAATACAAAAAGCAGGAAAACACGATTACTGACTAGATGCAGCAGGAGTTGAGATAGTGAGCACAAGGATAGCCAAGAGCAAGGATGCATCACCCTTTCATGGCTTGGGTGTCTGGCTGAATAGGGTTTATCAAGGGATATGGAAAGATGAGGAGGATTAGTCCAGGAAGGGCTATAAATGTTGGCTTTTATTTGAATCAATTAAGCTGCAGATATCTACAGAGAGATGTTGAGTTAACTATGTCCAATATGGTAGCCACTAGCCACATGTGGCTACCTTACAACTCAAAAATTCAGTCCCTCAGTCAAGCCACATTTCAAGTGTTCAACAGGCACATGTGGCTAGTGGCCACCACTTTGGACAGTGTAGATTTAGTGGATTTCCATCATCACAAAAAGTGCTACTGGTCAGGGTGGGCTTCAGAGCCACATTTGGGAGAACTAGCAAATATGTCACTTGTTAAAACCAGACGGGATAAAATGACTCAACAAGACTAGTTAGAAGAACAGGCAGAAGGAATGGAAACTTGTCGGTGAGACATGTGAAAGGGCAAGAGAAGGACAATGACTCCACGAAAGACATGAGAGGCGGGACAGGAGCAAAGGAGGGTGTCGCAGACACTAACACCAGAGGTCTTCCAGAGGGATAGAGTAGGGACAGAGTCATGCATTACACGCAGGTGTGGTGAGGTGGGAAGCAGGCAGGACCCATTGGATTTGACTATAGTTAGGTCGCTGGTGAATGCAAGTCATAGGTGTATGAGGAAGGATATCAAAGCCTCATGTAGTGGACTGAAGTGTGAATGGGAAGTGTGGTAACCTTTGTCAGAGAGCAGAACTTTAAACTGTCTGCTAAGCAACTTGTTTATGACAGGTACTTGAGAGAAATGTTTATGGAGAGATATTTTAAGGACATGAATGTACCTTAAAGTACCTCTAGTTAGACTAAATATTATTCCTGGATCCAACAGGATGATCAGGAAAATATCTACCCCAACTACAACTTCTGTTTTTGTTATCTGAATAACTGCACAACAAAAGCCCTGCTCTAGCAATATGTCCTCTACTTCCACTGAGGAGAAAGTACAAACAATACTCTGCATTTATTTTAGAGTTGTTCTTATTAGAAATAGCTGCACTACCACCTACATGAAGACCAGCAAAGACATTTTCTTCTGACTTTGATGATTTTAGATTCCATGAGGAATGTTTGGTCAATTGTCTGTCTGACTCTGACATGCCCAATTAGAAAAGTTAGGAAGAAATTTAGAGCTGCACTTTGGAAAATCTGTAAAATCAGAGGACCTGCATCTATGTACATGACAAATCTGCTGTGCTAGTCATCAACTTTTCCATATCTTCCTTGAAAGATGTGATACATTTCTATTTCTATATTTCCATTTCAATGTAGGTTCCTTAACCACTGATAAAATCCATTATATAAAAGGTGTTAATGAATAACTCACCTGATGTATGTTCATTTTCTGCTGCTCTTGAGAGAGTGTGGAGAACTGTGAAGGATAACCTGGGGGTAAGGAGAGAGGAACGGAGTTTTGAGAGGTCTGGTGAGCCTCTGTATTCACGTCCCTTAAAATCTCACACCACAAGCTAAGGAAAAGGCCTACACTATGGAAAAATGTTCCACTGACCATTGAGGTAGGGAAGGAAGCACCACACAGAGAGAGTACTCCCTTAATATGTACATCTCGGATAAGATCACACAGATGTAACCTTATTAATTTTCACTGAGTGACTGTAAATTATTTTCCTACTGATTTGAAAGAAATGTATGTCCCCTCTGACCAGTTAACAAAAAATCAAAACATAGGATTAATATTATCAATTATATTTAATATTATTATTTATACCTTGAGTAAGAAAATCGACAGAAAACTGAAAGGAATGATAAGATGCTGCCTGAATAAAATTTAAAATCTTGATCTGGCCAAGATGGAGGTGTAGGTAGAAATGCTTCACTTTCTTGAACAACCAAAAGAAGGATAAAAACAAACAAAAACAAAACAACCGGAAGTGCCAGAAAATCGAACTGCATGGAAGTCCGACAACCAAGGAGTTAAAGAACATTCATACAGACTGGTAGGAGAGGTGGAGAAGGGTACCTTGCCCTTCTCCCACTCCCAGAGTGGAGAGAATGTGAGGCAAGGTAGCAGACTGCATGGGAGAGACTGGGGCTGGCTGAGCAGGCTGTCCCACATTTGCTGCAGATAAGACAGGATGAACAACTGGGGAGTGAGACACACCTTGAAACCCAGGGTTTCAGTGATGGAAACTGAAGACTCAAAAACCTCTGGCTGTAAAAATCTATGGGGATTGCAGCAGCAGTAGAAACTCCAGTTTCACAGGAGAGTCCGCTGGAGAGATCCACAGGGTCCTAGAATGTACACAAACCTGCCCACCTGGGAATCAGCACCTGAAAGGGCACAGCCTGCTTGTGGGAAGTGAGGGAAGTGACAGAAAGTGGGGTGAGAGCCGAGCAGGTGGTATTGTTCCCTCTCTGACCCCTCCCCCCCAGAGAACACCACAAGCAGCTACCTGAGTTGCCCCAACCTGGGAAATACTTAAGGCTCCGCCCCTTCCAACATAAGAGGCATGCTGAGACAAACAAATATGGCTCAAATGAAAGAAGAGATGAAAATTCCAGAAAAAGAACTAAGTGATGAGGAGACAAACAAGCAATCAGATACGGAGTTCAAAACACTGGTAATCAGGATGCTCACAGAAATTATTGAGTTCAGTCCCAAAAGGAAGAGAGAAATGAAGGCTACACAAAGTGAAACAAAGGAAAATATACAGGGAATCAATAGTGAAGGGAAGGAAACCAGAGCTCAAATCAATTATTTGGAACAAAAGGGAGAAATAAACATCCAACCAGAACAGAATGAAGAAACAAGAATTCAAAAATATGAGAAGCTAAGGAACCTCTGGGACAACTTTAAATGTTTCAACATCCCAATGATAGGAGTGCCAGAAGGAGAAGAGCAAGAAATTGAAAACTCATTTGAACAAATGAAGGAAAACTTCTCCAATCTGGTAAAGGAAATAGACTTCCAAGAAGTCCAGGAAGCTCAGAGAGTCCCATAGAAATTGGATCCAAGGAGAAACACACCAACACATCATAATTAAGTTATCCAAAATGAAAGTGAAGGAAAAGATCTTAAAAGCAGCAAGAGGAAAGGAGAGAGTTACGTACAAAGAAGTGCTCATAGGACTATCGCTGATTTCTCAAAAGAAACCTTACAGGCAAGAAGGGCTGAAAGGAAGTATTCAGAGTTATGAAAGGCAAAGACCTACACCCAAGATTACTCTATCCAGCAAAGCTATCATTTAGAATGGAAGGGCAGAGAAAGTGCTTCCCAGATAACGTAAAGATAAAGGAGTTCATCATCACCAAGCCCTTATTATATGAAATGTAAAGGGACTTATCTAAGAAAAAGATCAAAACTATGAACAGTAAAATGACAACAAACTCACAGCTATCAACAACTGAATTAAAAAAAAAAAAAAAACAACCCCCCAGAAAGTAAGCAAACAACTAAAACAGGAACAGAACCCCAGAAATGGAGATCACATGGAGGGTTATGAGTGAAGAGGGGAAGGGGGAAAATGGGGAAAAGTTACAGGGAATAGGAAGCATAATTAGTAGGCACAAAATAGACAGCGGGAAGTTAATAGTATAGAAGACGGAGAAGCCTAAGATCTTATATATACAACCCATGGACATGAACTAAGAGGGGGGATGCAGGAAGGTGGGGGGGATGCAGGGCAGAGCAGCATAAAGTGGAGAAAAAATTGGGAGAACTGTAATAACATAATCGATAAAATATACTTTTAAAAAGTATATTTTAAATCTCTTTGTTAAAATTTATAGCAATTTCTCAAAAAGACGTTTTTTCCCCTAGCTAAGTTTCCCCTTCTATTCTCCCGCAGATGGTTAAAATTCCTAAGTCAAATTTACTTTCATTTTTTTGAAAAATTTTTTAAAATTGTATTCAATTTATTGGTGTGACATTGGCTGATAAAATTATGTAGGTTTCAGGTGTACAAGTATATAATACATCATCTGTATATTGTGTGTTCACCATCCCAAGTCTCCTTCCATCACCATTTATCCCCCCTTTATCCTTTTCTACTGCCTCCACCCCCCAAAAGTCTTATCAAAAATATGTATTATATTTTTATATTATGCTATTACAGTTGTCCCATCTCCCTTCCCCTTTATTCTCCTTCACCCTGCACCACCCCTCCCCCCAGCGTTCTCCTCCCCCTTTAGCTCATGTCCATGGGTCGTACATATAAGTCCTTCAGCTTCTCCATTTCCTATACTATTTTTAACCACTCCCTGTCTATTTTGTACCAACTATTGATGCTACTTATTCCCTGTACCTTTTCCCCCATTCTTTCCCCTCCCCTCTGATCTCCATTTCTATGATTCTGTTCCTGTTCTAGTCGTTTGCTTAGTTTTTGTTTTAGTTTTTTAGGTTCAGTTGTTGATAGCTGTGAGTTTATTGTCATTTTACTGTTCATAGTTTTTGATCTTTTTCTTAGGTAAGTCCCTTTAACATTTCATATACTAAGGGCTTGGTGAGGATGAACTCCTCTAATTTTACCTTATCTGGGAAGCACTTTATCTGCTCTTCCATTCTAAATTATAGCTTTGCTCTTAGAGTAATCTTGGACGTAGGTCCTTGGTTTTCATCACTTTGTATACTTCTTGCCAGCCCCTTCTTGACTGTAAGGTTTGAGAAATCAGCTGACGGTCTTATGGGAATTCCTTTGTAGGTAACTGTATCCTTATCTCTTACTGCTTTTAAGATTCTGTCCTTATCTTTAATCTTGGGGAATGTAATTATGATATGCTTTGGTGTGTGCTTCCTTGGGTCCAACTTCTTTGGGATTCTCTGAGCTTCTTGGACTTCCCAGAAGTCTATTTCCTTTGCCCGACTGGAGAAGTTCTCCTTCATTATTTTTTCAAATATGTTTTCAACTTCTTGCTCTTCTTCTTCTCCTTCTAGCACCACTATGATTTAGATATTGGAGCATTTAAAGTTGCCCTGGAGGCTCCTAAGACTCTCCTCATTTTTTTTGAATTCTTATTTTTTCATTCTGTTCTGGTTGAATGTTTATCTCTTCCTTCTGCTCCAAATTATTTATCTGAGTCCTGGTTTCATTCTCTTTACTCTTGGTTCCCTGTATATTTTTCTTTATTTCACTTGGCGTAGCCTTCACTTTTTCCTACATTTTGCAGCCATACTCAACCAATTCAGTAAGCATCCAGATTACCAGTGTTTTGAACTCTGCATCCCATAGGTTGGCTATCTGTTCATCACTTAGTTCTATTTTTGGAACTTTGATCCGTTCTTTCATTTGAGCCATATATCTTTGCCTCAGCATGCCTATTACATTGGAAGGGATGGAGCCTTAGGTATTTGCCAGGGCGGAGCAACTTAAGTCGCTGCATTGTGACACTGTGTGTGGGGGAGGGGTCCAAGAGGGAACAATGCAGCTTGCTCAGCTCTCCGCAGGGAAGTGGGAGAAGACACTTCCTCTCCCCAACCCCCCAACTACCCACAAGCAAGTTGGGCCCTTCTGGTGCTGATTCCTGGGCAGGTGGGTTTGTATACATTCTAGGACCCCTTGAGTCTCTCCAGCAGACTCTCCTGTGTGGCTGGGAGTCCTGCTGCCACAATCCCCACAGGTTTTTACCTCCAGAGTTTTGGGGTTTTTTTCCCATGCTGGAACCCTGGATTGTGCAGCCTGTCTCGCTCCCCAGCTGTTCCTCACGGTTCATCCACATGCAAATGCACCACCCAGTCCACCAGCCTCTGCCTTGCCAAACGTCCTCTCTGTCCCGGCTGCCTGTCTCCACCCCTCCTACCAGTCTGGATGTATGTTTCTTCTTTAGCTCCTTGGTTGTCAGGCTTCCATACAGTTCAATTTTCTGGCAGTTCTGGTTATTTTTTGTTTTTAAATTTGTTGTCCTTCTTTTGGTTGTACGAGAAGGCTAAGTGTGTCTACCAACACTTCCATCTTGGCCAGAAGTCTTATCGAAAATATTTTTGATAAGACGGTTCTAGTGACTTAGCTGTGACAGAATGAATAGCACTGTGCTGGGTGAGTAGGGGACATACATCTCAAGATCAGTATTTTTAAGGTTTCAAGAATTGGAAATGGAAATCCCTTTCTATACTATCATTTTGTGATTCTAGTATGTTCAGAATAAAGGAAACGTCAGCGTATCTTTAGATGCCACATGTGATGGACATGATATTAGAATGGCTCAGAATCTGGAAAGAAGGAAGAAGGAAGAAAATGGAGGGCTATTTAAGAAGACAGAATTTCCTTAGCTCTGGCTGTGGCTTTCCCTGTGCAGCGTGACAGTCACCCATCCCTCTCAACCTCAGCTTACCACCTTCTGCAAGCTGGTCCACAGTTTCCACTGTCACACAGACTGTGATGGCTTCTGGATGTGGCGACATCACCAAGTCTGGCTCTCTCTGGACAAGGTGATTAAGAACTGCTTCTGGTGGAGGAAATCAGGACCCACTTCTTTCTGGGTTCTCCTGCATCTGTTCCAAAGCTCTGGTGAGGGCAGTCCCTGTCAGATGGGCTGTTCTTCCACGTGGAACTCCCATCCCCAGGATTCCCTCCTTTCCACACAAAAGCCACCCTGTTCCAGAGACATTGAGACTTAGGCCTAGGAAACAAATTCATTTTAGTTGAAACTTTCATTGAGAGCAGTGTTTCAATTTCAACTCTATTGACATTTTGGGCTAGATAAATTTTTATCATGGGGGCTGTCCTGTGCATTGTAGGACACCCAGCAGCATTTCTGACCCCTAACCACCAGGTGCTAAGGGCAATCCTCCCAGTTGTGACAACCAAAAACAGCTCTAGACACTTCTAAAACTCATCTGGGGAGCAAAATCACCCTAGTTGGGAACCTCTGGTGTATATGATACAGTTAAGCCTGATTCTCTTGGAATTCTTTAGAACTGTTCTATCCATCATTGTAGCCACTACTGAGTACCTGAAATGTGGCTAATGCCACATGTTGAAATAATAATGTTTTGTATATATTAAGATAAACACAATACAGTAAGTCCTCACTTAACATCATTGACAAGTTCTTAGAAACTGTGGCTTTAAGTGAAATGTTGTATAACAAACAATTTTACCACAACTAACAGATATAAACTAGAGTTAAGTTCCTATGGCATATTTCTGGCCATAAAAACATCGCCAAACTTCTAAATAAAGACCCAAAACACTTCCAGTACTAAATATTGAAATAAATGTGAGCTATGCATACATTTAAGAAAGATTAATGGAAACAAGATGATTTTCCCACTAGGGTGAGAAAATCATAAGGGTGTCCAGAGCCTCCCCAGCAGCTCAAGGTGCAAGGCAGGACCCCACCTTGTACAGCAGGCCCTTCCACTGCAGGGCACACTCACACACACCCACACTCCTCATTGTTCCTCAGACTGGAACAATGTAGACATGTCAGTTAACCTAACCTACACATCTGTGAGATATGGGAGGAAACCGGAGTCTCTATAAAAAAACCCACGCACACATGGGGAGACCTTGCAAATTCCACAAAGACATTGGCCCAGCAGGGAATTGAATTTTTCCCCCCTCATCAACATTATTACAAAACACTGTTGAATGAAATGTTATTTAAGGACCTGCTGCTGTATGTCCTTAATATTAATTTCACATGTTTCTTTTTGCTTTTTAATGTTGCTACTGGAACATTTAAAATTATATATGAGGCTCACCTATCTTTCTGGTGGACAGCACTGCACTAGACTATCAAGCTGTGCCTTCTGAAGACAGTCACAGCCTGGACAGTGCAGGAGGTGCCAGGAGCCTTACCCAGAGGCTTTGGAGACATGCCAGAAATCCCAGATTATGTATACTTGTCAGAGAATGAGATATGGATCACATTGACTTTACAATCATAGTTCTGAGGATTGGACACAAGTCATTCTGCTAGTGCTGTGAAAGCTGTAACACTGGGTTTTAGGTAGATAAGGTTTTAGGAATTGTCTGAATTTGGGAGTAAAGCATATGTGTATTTGCATCCTAGCTTCCTCCCTTTGTGACCTTGGGTCTGTATACTTCACTCCACCAAGCCTGTTTTCTTATTTTTAATGATGTGGTTATACCTATTAATAGGGTGGTTGGGAGAATTAAATGAAATACTAAATGAAAAGAACAAACCTGCCTTCCAAATGGGATGAGAGCCAACATGTAATATTGAATTATCAGCTAGTCCTTATTAGTGCTTATTAACTAGCACTTGGTTAAATCACTGCTTTGCAGTTATGACCTTTCTCTCTCTAAATAATGCCACAAAACAGTTTTTACTAATACTCTTTAAAAAAAAAAAAAACAACAACAAACGGCAAACCTTACACATGCCCAAGTGACAGAGGCGGAACTGACCTAGCCCTGCTGGCTCCTAAGCTCCCGGGCGCGCTTTACGTTAGGTACACGCTCGGTCAATATTATAAAGCGCATTCCAACCCGTTACAGATAAAGGATTTTTCCCCAGGGCCGACAGCAGCAAGCTGCCATACCTGCTGCGCGGAGCATCTTCAGACCAGGGCTCAGCCTCACCCGCGCCCACGGAGACCAATGGGGCTGGGGCCCGCCCCCGCCCGCCTTCCCCAGGTGTAAGTCCAGGCCAAGCTCTGGGATAGGCAGACCCGCTTTCGGAGATAGAACCCGGAACCCTAGACACAAGCTCACACCTGGATGCTGGGACACCAGCCGCGGGAAGGCGCGGACCCGCAAAGAGCTCACCTGCTCTTGTAACCTCAGAACTAGCGAGGCTGGAGCACCGGCAACAGGAAAGTGGCGCTGGCTGCACATGCGCAGGGGAAAGCACTGCATATCCATTCCCAGAAGGCTGCGCGATAACCCATACTGTTCAAGACTACATTCCCCGCCAAGACTGAGACCTCTCGCAAATTGTGTGTTGAATTGGGGATTAATAAAATGATATTAACTGCCTACTTATAATCAGAGAGGAGATTCTTTCACAGCCCCAGAGGTTAGAAGTTAAATTTTTACCTACATGCAAGTACAACGTGCTGTCCTCGGTTAGATCCTGATTTGGGAACGAATGTGGAAATTTGTGTAAGGACTGGTATTATGGGAAGTTATCGTTACTTTTATTAATTCTGATAATAACATTAGGATTATGTAGGCACGTTTACTTTGTTTTAGAGATGCATAGCAAACAAAGTACTTAGCATTTTATTGTTTATTTGTAATTAAATAACTAGAAAGGCAAATACAGCAAAATGTTAAGTTTTACCTCGAGTATTGTTATTCCCATTTTATTATTTTTTACTTTGTGTTTGGAAATTTTGTAATATAAAGTTTATGAAGGGAAATTTTTGAACTGTTCAGAGTGTGCCTTTTAACTCAGAGCTACTAAGATATATGAGTCAAATGCCAAAACTAAAAAAAGTCTGGTAACAAGTTTGATGTCCTTTTCTTTTTTTAAAGATTTTATTATTTATTTTTAGACAGAAAGGAAGGGAGGGAGAAAGAGAGGAATCATCAATGTGTGGTTGCCCCTCCACCTGGCTCGCAACCCAAGCATGTGCCCTGACTTGGAATCAAACTGGCGACCTTGTGGTTTACAAGCTGGCACTCAGTCCACTGAGCCACACCAGCCAGGGCAGATGTACTTTATTCAAGGGAAAACAGTCCATGGAATGAGAAAGTACAGTGAGTAACAAGCAGTGGATCATTCTTCTGCGGAATTTTGGGCAAGAGCAAGTTTTATAGAACACCTGTAGATGCAGCATGGAAACGGGGCATGATTGCCTAGGAGATCAGATCCTATTTTCTAGGGTAAAGTAAGCTAGCAAAAGCTGAGGGGAAGGATTGTGATTAATATGTGTTAGGTTCCCTAACAGTGAGGTGTATTCCCATAAATTTAGGCTGACTCAGGTTTAGATTTGTAACATATCCCATTGTGTGTGTCCTGAGACATTAGGGGTAATGATGATTCATCAATGTAGATTCACTGTGCATAACAAATGTACCCTTCTCATACAGAATGTTTTTAGTTGGGAAGACTATAGGAGTTGGGGGCACAGAAAATATATAGGAACGCTCTGCACTCTTCTCAATTTCGCTATGAAAGTAAAACTGCTCTTAAAAATAAAGCCCATTACAAGGGGCGGTAAAATGACACAATGACATCCTGTAAGACCTCACAATGACCAAAGCAGGAACATATTTAGCAAAATAATAAATGTAGTAATGGATTATAGCCCAAAGAATGAAATTAATCTCCATGTGTCCAAAAAAGACAAATGAAGGAACAGATCTTCCTAACAGAACTCCAATAACTGCAAGAAGATGTCAATGTATTTCAGCCAAATATCACCAGCAACATACTTGTAGTTCAACAATTTGGATTTTAATAGTAGTTGCAGTGAAGTTGACACACACATATATGGGAACTATGAAGTGTTTTAGTAAGAGAGTGTTAGAAAGGAACTATAGGATTGGAGCTTTGGTTAGTTCATTTTGCAGAGGTTCCAAGGCAGCTGAATTTGGTCAGGATTAGGTGTTGCAAAAAAATAAATGAATGAATAGTAAAAAGCAGCAGTCACTCATATCAGCTGAGAGGTCACTGGTTTGATTCCCCAGTCAGGGCACATGCGTGGGTTGCATGCCAGGTCCCTGGTTGGGGGTGCGGGAAAGGCAACCATAGAATTTCTGTCCCTTTCTCTCTCTCTCTAAAAATAAATAAAATCTTTTTTAAAAAACTTAAGAAATTTAAATTTAAAAACTTATGTCTTCGAATTACTTATAGCTTGAATCCCTATGAAAATTATTTATTGAAAAACAAATGCCATGAATATGGGCTTTGTTCCAGCACATCCCTTGTTGTTCTAAGAAGGTTATAAACATTCTCTTTCCACTGCTTTAAACACCATCTCTAATACCTACTACTTTCTCTCTTGTTTTTCCCTAGACTTAGCTTTTATTTCACCAGGATCAGTTTTTCACTAATTTAAAGCAATAGTATAGATACTAATATAGACACATTGCTGTGCATTTTAAATTCTTTTCTAATCATTACTAAAAGTTTTTATTGGAATGAACGTTGGAATTGTTCCTTTAGGTTTAACAAACAAAAGATGTAAATATCAAAGAGAAAAACACAAAAAACTTTTTAGAATTCTGATTGGAACTTCAATTTTATTCTTTTCTTTTAGGAAACTGGTATTTATTAAAGTCCTTATAGTGTCAGCAAAATAAAGTTTATACTTTGATTCACATAAATTGCACTAATTTAATGGTAACATTAATCCTTTTTTTTCTTGCTAATCAAAACTTATTCTTTTTATCATTGCCATAAAAAACAAAATATAAACCAAGAAAAGTGCATATAAACCAAGATATAAACCAAGAAAAGTGCATGTGTGTTTATATACAAGCGTGTGCATAAATATATATCTAAAAAGACAGTCATAAAATATGTTCAGAGTGTCCTAATTTTGTCCCTAGTTTCAGAAGTGGGCACACAAATTTTAACAAATACATCCTTAGGAGATGTACAATTTGTGTGATTATTGCTTTCTTATTGAGTTGTGTGTACTCTCAGATAGCATTCATGTAAGATTGAACAGCCCCTACCATAGGGCCTGAACCAGCAATGAATGAGAGTTCCTATTGCTCCATATCCTTGTCACCATTTGGTGTTGTCAGTGTTTTAGATTTTGACCTAATAGGTGTGTTGTGGTGTCTCGTTGTTTTAATTTCCAATTCCCTAATAAAATATAACATTGAGCATCTTTTCATATGTTTATATGCCATCTGTATATCTTCTTTGGTGAGGTGTCTCTTCTGATCTTTTGCCCATTGTTTAATCAGGTTACTTGCTTTCTTTTTGCTGAATTTTAAGAGTTCTTTGTATATTTTGATAACTGTCCTTTATCAGATATATCTCCTGCAGTATTTTCTCCTAGTCTGTGGCTTGTCTTCACATCCTCTTAACAGTACCTTTCACAGAGCAGAAACTTTCAATTTTAATGAAGTCCAGCTTATCAAGTAGTTTATGTATCATGAAATACCTTTGCTTCTTGTCAAAGGTCAGTTGACTATACCTGTGTACATCTGTTCCTGGACTCATTATTCTGTTCTGTCACGTGTACTCAAAAGAGTTTATCACCCTTATTTCCTCTTTCACCTCCCCCCACCCCTCCCCCCACACAATTACCACACTATTGTCTGTGTCCATGAGTCCCTTTTCTTTTTGCTCCATCCCTCTACCCCCCAACCCACGCTACCCCCCAACCCACGCTACCCCCATAGCTGTCATCCTGCTCTCTATGAGTCTGTCTCTATTTTGCTTGTTAGTTGAGTTTGTTCATTAGATTCCACATATGAGTGATATCATATGATATTTGTCTTTCTCTGACTGGCTTATTTCATTTAGCATAATGTTCTTCAGGTCCATCCATACTGCTGGAAAAGGTAAAGGTTTTCTTCTTTTTTTTATAGCCATGTAGTATTCCACTGTGTAAGTGTCCCATAGTTGTTTTACCCACTCATCTACTGATGGACACTTGGCCTGCTTCCAAATCTTGGCGATTGTAAATAATGCTGCAGTGAACACAGGGGTACTTATATTCTTTCAAATTAGTCTTCCAGATTGTTTCAGATAAATTCCCAGAAGTGGAATTAGTTTAGATTCAATTTGTTCTTTTTCTAGTTTTCTAAGATGAAATCATAGATGATTGATTTTAGACCTTTCTTCTTTTCCAATATAGGCTTTAATATAAAGCTATAAATTTCCCTTTAAACACTGTTTTCTCTGCATTCCACAAAGTTTGAGGTTGTATTTTCATTTATTTCAAAATATTTTAAAATTTCACTTGAGATTTTTTCTTCAACTCAGGTGTTATTTAGAAGTGTATTATTTAATCTCCAGCTATTTTTGGAATTTTCCAGCTTAGTTTCTGTATTGATTTCTGGTTTAATTCCATTGTGGTCTTGAGGAATACATTATATAATTTCTATTCTTTTTCATTTGTTAAGATGAGTTTTATGATGTAGAATGTAGTGTATCTTCTTTAATTCTTTTTATGTGAACTTGAGAACAATTTGTACTCTTCTATTGTTAGATGAAAGAATCTATAAATGTTAATTATATCCAGTCAACTCATGGTGCTGTTGAGTCCAGGTATATTTTACCCCTGCTGGATATGCCTATTTCTGATAAAGGGCTACTGAAGTCCCCAACGACACTAGTGGATTCATCTATTTCTCTTAGCAGTTCTATCAGTTTTTCCTTCATGTATTTTGATGCTCTATTTTTAGGCACATAGACAGTAAGCATTGTTATGACTTCTTGAAGTCAACCCTTTTTCATTATGTAAAGCTCCATTTATCTATGATAATTTTCCTTGTTCTGAAGTCTGCTTTGTCTGAATTAATACAGCAATGTTATCTTGATTAGTATTAGCACATTACATTGTTCTCTATCCTTTTACTTTTAATCTGTGTATCTTTATATTTAAAGTGGATTTCTTATAGACAGCATATCATTGGGTCTTATATTTTTGTGCACTCTGACAATCTTTGTCTTTTAATTGATATATTTTGGCATTGACATTAATGTGATTGTTTATATAGTTGGATTAATATCTACCATATTTGTTACTGTTTTCTATTTGTTGCCCTGTTCTTTGTTCCTATTTTTATTTTCCATTTTTTGTTTGCCTTGTGTGAACATTTTATACAATTCTATTTTCTCTCATATTTAGTATGTCAATTATACTTCCTTTTGTACTTTTTTTAGTGGTTGCCCTAAGTTTGCAATGTGTATTTGCAATCCCAGTCCACTTTCAAATAACACTACATCACTT